CCTCCCCAATGTCTATCACCCACCCACCGCATCCCTCCCACCCCTCCACTCCAACAACCCTCAGTTTATTTCCTGAGATTAAGAATTCCTCATATCAGTGAGGTCATATGACACATGTCTTTCTCTGATTGACTTATTTCACTCAGCATAACACCCTCCAGTTCCATCCACGTTGTTGCAAATGGCAAGATCTTTTTTATTTCAATATAATTAACATGGGCTGGTAAACTTTTAAATGTACTTGCCAATGGATTTTTAGTGTTGCAGGAACTACCACAACAGAAGTCCTTAAAAGAATATTTAAGCCAAGTCTTCTCTCCTTTTCCCTTAATACCCCCTTTAATTTAAAGTGGGCTATTTGTGGGAATGTTCGATGTCAGGTAGTAAGAAAAGTTTGGAATTATATTGAGGTAATTTTGGAATTATTATCAGAATGGAGCTATCTGAAAGGATTGTTTGTAACAGGTGAAAGCTGTCAGGAAAAATAAAATAGAATGAAAGATGTAAGCAAAGTGACAGAAAATAACTGATGAGTTGGTGGAAAATCCAGAAAACTTCTTGCATGAAAATCAAAACATAACAGGGACTTGCTTGATTTTATGGGAAGAGAATAAATAGTAAATATAAATTTTTGCCTCTTTCTCAAATTCTGTCTTATCCAGGATAATAATTCTTATTTCAATTCCAAATGATCACACTTGTATTTTTTTTCTGTTCATGAATTTATATTAAATTTTATTAATATCATGGTTCTAATTTAATTGGTCTCCTTAGATTAATCTTCTGAAACTTCAGGAACAATAATCAGAGTGACTGAAAGGAAGTAGAGTCCAGTATTCTGAAGATGTTCATGCATATACCTCGTTATACATATACAGAGATAACCAGAAAAAAATACAAAGTAGCACCAAAGAAAAAAGGAGGTAAAGAGATATTAAATTTTCAGAGGAGGGCAAGCGTACTTCCAAATTGGAGGAAAAGGGAAAAATTTGTGTGTAAGATTTATACTGGTCTTAAAAGAGTAAAATCTGGGCACTCAGAGATGTAGGGAACACGTCCTAGGTGGAAGGAATAATAGAGCTATAGAGTGAAAATTATATTGGCCTGGAGTTAACTGAACTTTGGTTCAATTTTCTCTAATTCCTAGTTTCATCTATAAAGATTGGATAATAACATCAAAACCTTGCTGTGGGGTTGTTGTGAGGGGTGGTCAAGTGGACATTTCTAGCTAAGTTTCTGGCAAAGAGTAGATGCTTGGACAAAAACTCTCCCTTCCTTTTTAATGCAACTGTGAAGGACATATGAGGCCAGGCTAAGGAGTTTGGGGGAGCCTTAATCCTGCTTCTACTATTTACTAGCTTCATGATCTTGGGCAAATTATTTAATCTTGCTCAGTCTCAGTTTTCTCATCTCTAAAATGGAGGTAATAATAGTACCAATTTCATAGTTGATATAAGGAGTAAAAGAGTTAGTTTATGTAAAGGACTTATAAAATATATGGCACAAAGTATGTCACTGTTAACTATTATTATTATTTTTCATAGGCTCTGAGGAGCAAGTGGAAGTTTTTGAGCCAGGGGATGGAGGAGAGTGACTGACTCAATTTTTTCTTTAGAAAAATCAACGTGTTGGTGGTTTACCAATAGGAATTGGGTGGTGAAGAATTAGGGAGAGACCCAAAGTGAGGAAGACTAGTTAAGGGATTATTAAACACTCTGGATCAGAGACACTAAGAACCTGATGAGTAATGGTGGTAGCAGGAATGGAGAGGGGCCACTTGGCCTAGAAACATACTTTTCAAACTTCATTGTATGAATCACTGGGGATCTTATAAAAATGCAGGTTCTGGTTTGGTAGGTTTGAGTGGGGCCTGCAATGTTGCATTTATAACAAGATCCCAAGTGGTACCAATGATGCTGGCCCAAGGAGCACACTGAATAACAAGGAATTTGAAGATAGGATTCATAGGAGTTGACATTTGATTGGTCATGGGGACAGGAGACAAGAGGGATGGTGAGTTTTCAACAGAAGGAGCTAAATTGGGAAGGAAAACGATGAACTCAGATTGACACACCAAGCTTGATTTCCTGAAATTGGAGTTTTAGGAGGGAGAATGGTATAATGCCAAAAGGGTAGATTTATTGTCAAAAGACCTGGATTAAATCCTGGCTCCAACAATTACTAGAAAGATGACTTTGGACATTAGCTCTTCTTCATCTCTAAACGGGAGACCACAGTGACTACTTCAAAGGATTGTTGCAGAGATGAATGGAGAAACTTTGTCATGAAAACTTCTCGCATGGTGGCCAGCACATAGATGGCACTTCCTGAGTAAAAATCATATTTATAAGCTATGGAATTTATGGACTAATCCAGCTCCTGGCAAGGCTGATTTGGGTTTTAACACATACGTTTTTCCTACAATGTACATACTGATACTTCAAATCATACGGTAATTTGGCAGGCTTCTGAACTTTATGTTTTCTAAGTATGCGTTAGCTGACATAATTTCAGAGGACTTGAATGCCAGGATTGGCAGAAGTTCCACCAGAGCTACATCTATCAGAAAACAGCAATTGTCAGATTTTTCCTTTTAAGGCACTTCTCCAGGAATAACTGTCTGAATCAAAGAGGAAAATATCTGGTCAAACTCATTTATAATCATAGTCCAGTAATGGTAAATGGCAGGCTGTGGGATAAATCTGTGGACTTTCACTTACATTTCCAACCAGAGGCAGCAGTATTGATGATTGAAGAATTAGCTCTTTGGAGCTTATCTACAACCTTGAGTTGGATATTTTAGACTGGTGGAAAGTAAATATTTTTCCCTTAAACTTAATCTGAACTTTCAAAATTGTCCTTGTATCTGTCCCTACACATAACTCAGTCAGTGAGATTTTAGGGATAAGGTTATACTGAAGTGAGCAAGTAAATTTATGATAACAAAGAATTTATAGCACACATTTTATTCTGGAAGTCTTAAAAAATAACTATAATATTAACAAACTGCGGTTATAGTACTTATGTTGTTGGACTATTCAAGAAAAAGTTCTTTTATCTCTTGCTTCATAAAAGAGATCAGAAAGAAAAAAATTCCAGGCCATATTGTCAAGATATTATCTCAAATATAACAAGAGATCAAGTCATCCAAAGACTCGTTTAGTTACAGTTCTTCTAAAAACAACTTATTCTTTCTAAAAATTAAATTACATAAACTATTCTGGAATATTTTGTGCTCAACATCAGGGACATCAACCATAAGGATTTGGGACTGTATCTTCTTTGGTGTCACTTCAGTACGAGGAAATTCAAAATCACTTGCATGGATTGAGTACTAAACAAATCATCTCAATTTCAATTCTGTATCTCTGCATTTTGTTGTCTCCAGTATTCTCCATAGCCAGAATCCATTATTTTCATCAACTCTAAAAAAAGTCCAGTCTTTCAAGGCTGAAAGGAGCTCCAGAAGAAAATCTTTGCTGAGAGAATTATTTTGATCTTGCTTGAGTAGTTGGCTGAAGTCCTTGCCAACCTATTTACCTTAATTAACTCCACAGGTATGGTTCCCTCAAGATGAACCCTAAGTGTAGTTGACTCTAGGTTCAAAAAGGGAAACTCTCCATCTCCTGAAATTAGAGAACCATTAAGGCTCTTAGAGACTTCCTCCAAATAACATAAAATTTCTTCTTAAATTGAAAGACTTAAGGCTCAATCTAATAGCTTGCTTACATAAGGAGCTAACCTGCTTTAGGTAGCAACTATTTTCTACAGATAATGGCTATGAAAATATTTGTTGAATGAGTCGATACTATTACCTGTTTTATCTCCTCCAAAGAATAATTTTATGAAACTTTTATCTAGACACATTATTTTTTTCTCCCATAAATTTTTCCTTCCTGTTATGTAGCCATCATGCATCCAGTCATCTGAAAGAGAAATTTAGGAGTTTTCCTGGAGTCCTCCCTGCCCACCTCATATCCCCGTTCACTTCCTGACACCTGCTGACTCTTACATCCTACATGTGTGCTGTCCCTTTCTCGCTTGGTCCCTCCTGGCACTATGCTAGCCCAGGCCCTTACATTTCTCTCTGAGCCTTTATAACAGCATCTTAAGGATTTTCTCTGTCTCCAGTTATGGCCTCCTCCAATTTACCCTTCAGAATGCCTTTGGAGTGATATATTTAAAATCCAAATTCAATCAGGTAATTTCCTTTCAGTGACACTCCATCATTCACAGTGAAAAAAAAATAAATAAATAAAAATACAATGAAAAAAATCCAAGCTCCCTGATACAAAATTCAAGGCCTCCCACGATCTGGTTTGTATGAGCCTCTCAGGTTTATTTCCTACTTACCATTCACTTCACACTCAGCAGGTGTCTCAGCCTCGGTGCTACTGGCATTTTGGGCCAGATAATTCTTTGCTGTGGTGGGGCTATCCTGTGCCATTTTAAGATGTTTAGCAGCATCCCTACCCTCCACCCAACCAAAAATAACTCCATTGCTAAATGTTCCCCAGGGGGTAAAACTGCCCCCTGGTTTGTAGATAGGAGTTGGGTGGTGAATCACAAACTCTGTACATATTAGGATATGTAGTACCTCTATTCTTTGCTTTTTTTGTTATTTGTTCCTGGAAAGCTTTTCTCCTTCTTTGTCTAATGTAGGGAGAGAGGAAAATATCCTGTACTTCTGTCCTCTAACTTCTTTGTTTGCTCAAAAAAAGAAATTTCAACAAAGCTTCTATAGGCCATATTCATTTTTCATATTACCATCCCTTCTCAGAATCCTTACAGTTAGTTTCCCTTCCATCCCCATAAAAATCCACAACCCATGATAATCAGAGCTATTATCAAGAAAGAGAGACCTTTGACATTTTATGGCGTATGATGTTACTAAACATCAGTCCGTAGCCAAGTCCCAGAGATTCTGCTTCACAAAGTCAAGGGTGAGTCTCAGGATCTATCTATATGTGTATTTTTTTTTTTTTTATCAGCTCCAGCCAAGATGAGTCTCAGGTGCCATCTGGTGTGGAAGCCAGTGACTACATAGCTGCAAAGGAAAAGGTAAAAAGATGCATCCAGGTATTCAACATTTTGATAGTTGAGTATTTCACCTCATGTTCATATGGATTCAGTATCTAGTGTCCACACTTAAATTCCAAGTTACATAAATCCATATAGCAGATAGAGGAAAAGATGTCTGTTCATGCCATTGTCCTAAATACTAAGAAGGCCTTCAAAACAAACCAGGTAAAGAGGAAATACCTGCAAGCGTTCTTTCTTAAGATAGCAAAAACATGCCTGATAGTGGGGAAATGGAGTTATTTTCATAAAGGTTTCCAGCTATGGGAGCAAACAAAGGATGAGAGAAATCCTTTCTACACAAGTTTCATTCTAGATGCCCCCCTCCTTCAACAGAGAATTTAAAATAGCCCTTTCCCCTAATTCTGTTGATTATTATTCTTCTAAAGTCTTCCTCACCATTTAGGATCCCATGGGAGATCAGTAAGGATGGTGGGGGTGAAATGTTCCTAGTAGTGGAACCAAGGATGATGGAGTAAACTGGAAAAATCCTTTAAAAACTCTAATTGAGACAAACCTGACTACAAAATTGTATCTGTGCTATGATTACAACTGTAAAAATTCTGTCTGCATATGGACAGGGACTAAAAGGGAGCATGAAAAAAATGTAAACAGTTTGGTTTGTAGGATGGCAGGATTTTGGGTGGATTTTTCTTTCTTTTATTTTGAGTTTTGTCAATGTTTTTGTAATGTTTTGTAATAAACAATACTATAAAAGAAGCAGCTGAACCTACTGACTAATTATTGTTAGAAAGAGCAGCTTAGCATCAACTCTATCAGAGCTAAAATTGCTGCTTTTGGCAGATGCTCCTCGACATCAGATAAATACTATGTCAGATAACCTTAATCAAGAAGTCAACTCCTCTGGTCCATAGGAGCATTTCTTCCTTCCTTCCATCCCCCTTCCCTTCCTCCCTTCCTCCAGTCTTCCCTCCCTCCCTCCCTCCCTCCCTCCCTCCCTCCCTCCCTCCTTCCCTCCCTCCTTTCTTCCTTCCTCTGCTAACTCCCTGTGACAGGCATACCCAGATTACCAGATATTGGTTCAACTGGGTCCACAAGGAAGGTGTTCCATTTTGCTGTTTTTATTTTATTTTTAAAAATAGTTAAAATGATTGATTGGTTATACAGGCCCTAAGAACAGCCTTGGACCAAATAATCTTCTTCAATATCGTGAAAAACTCAGGGTCCTCAAAAGAGTGTCTAAGTGTGTGAGTGGATTCAAGCTCCATTTTGAAGGAAATACTGTTGTCACCTTCAGGAACTCTTGCAGCTTATCTTTGTGCAGAAATGGAATGGCAAGAATACAAGTTAGGTTCTTAAAAATTTGACAACAGAATGTCAGCCTCACTTCCTGCACATCTGGTGTTTAAAGCTTATGGGTAATCAACAGCATAGACTATTGACACTTCAGGCACTTGTCGGTGAATTCAATCCTGAAGTGACTTGTAACTGTGCACTTGCCAAAGGCTCACCGAAGACACATGGTATTGGAGAGAGACAATTTAAAATGGGTGGTCTCTCCATTTTCCTTCCAGGAACTCTAATCTCTGTTCTTGTGATTCGTTGCAATATTGGGAAGCAACATATCTGGGCTGGGTTACCTCTGTACCTGATAGAAATTCTTGCACTGGGTTAAAAATTCAGTAGTCTGGTTTGAGCCTTTGTGAGAATCAATATAAGAATTGTTCATTGGAACAATGCTTTTGCATTTTTTGGCAAATATCATTGCTGAGGATGTTGTGCTTTATGTCACCTAAAATCTGTTATTAAAAAATATACGTGATAAATTGCTGTTGGATTCAGGACATGAGCTTTTCTTTGCTCGTAACATGGATTAGAGACCAGGCATTTCTCTTTGTGCCTTAGGTACCAGGAAACTCATGCTTTACCCCTAGTACTCCTCCACTGGCAGTTCCATACAGATTAGAGGAACTGATGAGCAGAGATAGCAGAGTTGGGCACAACAGGGAGGTACAATTTGGTGTCCATTCAGTTGCTGTGCCTGTTAGGGCTTAGGTTGGTACAATCCTTCCAACTTTAATGATCTCATTAAGATTTTTTCTTCAAGAATCTGTTGTTCCTGAAGTGCTAGATTTTCATAAAGGAAGAAATGCATTTCATTTTCTATAAATATCAAAATTAATTACTCATCGTTATAACTATTCATTAAAATTCAAAATTAGATGAGAATGTTCTTCATAGATTTTTTTTAAGCCTTGAAGAGATCCATTTTATTATAGCATCTTCAGCTGTACTATTTAAGGAAATTATGACATAAGGTTCATAATCGAATTAAGCCAATACCTTTTGCCCAAATCCTAAGAAGAAATTAGTAAAAGATGGTGGGTAGAATTATGGTGGTTTATTAGGACAAGTGCAGGCAATTGAGTAGAGTTGTTTTTGTAGGTCTGACCCCAGTGTATCTAGTTGGGAACAGACTCATTCATTCACTTGTTCATTCTTTTAGTCAGCAATATATGAGTCTAATGTATTCCAAGGACCATTTTAGGTGCTGAGGATATATCAGTAAGTGGAACAGACAGAACTCTCTGCCTTTACAGAATTTACATTCTAGTGGGGAGAGGGGAAGACAGTCAATAATAACAAATAAAAAAATGCATGGTGTGACAGTTGGTGATAAGCGTTATGGGGAAAAGTCAAGTAGGTAAGGGAGAGATAGGGGGCACAGGGTGTGAGGGTGGAATTTCTATTTTAAATAGTGTGACCAGGTGGCATCTGAGCAGAGATTGGAAGGAGAAAGCTATGTGAGTCTCTCTGGGACAAGTTTCCATTGAGAGGGAACAGTTTGTGCAAAAACCCCAAAGCAGGCGTGTGCTTGGCATGTCCAAAGAAAGCAAGGAGATGGATGTGGCAGGAATGGAGCATGGGAAGACAGTGGTTGGGAGACCACTGAGGGAGGAGAGAGCCAGATCAGATAGGCCACTTTAAGGGGTTTTAAAAATGAGACAGGGACCACATGGAGGGTTTTGAGCAGAGGAGTAATGGGATCTGACATGTTTTAAAAGGATCACTTGATTGCTTTGTGCAAAACAGACAGTAGTGAGATGTGGGACTTGGGCTGTAGTAGGGAGAATGAGGAGAAGTGGTCAGATTCTGGATCTATTTTGAAGGTAGAGCCACCAGGATTGGTGACTGGTAGGATAGAAGTTGTGAAAAAAAAGATAAGTTTTTGGTCTGAGCAAGTATGTCAATGAATGCAAAGGATGGAGTTGCCCATATCTTGGATGAGGAAGACTGTGGGAGGACGATCAGGACAGTTTTGGACAGATTAAATTTGAGATGTCCAAGTGCTGATGGTTTGATAATATAAATCTTAACTCAAAATTAATACTATGTTTAATATAATATATAAACAATATACTATGGTACTATTAAATATTAATATACTTGTACTACATTTTAAGAGAGACACTAGCAACAAGTTATACATATATATATATAGAGAGAGATCTACATATATATCTATATCTGTGTCTCTTTTCATGCTGGAGGGGTTCCTTGAAAAGAGCAAATGAATTTTCTCTCAGTGCTCACTTACAGTCAGTACTCAGTCTTCCTCTTCTACTGCCCAAATGAACCTTGATTTTGTTCTCTTTTTATTCACACAGCCTAAAATTCAGGCCCCTTGATCTCTTCCTGCATTATTGCAACAGCTTCCTAACTGGTGTCCTCACCTCTGCTTTATGTTCTTTCTCTCTCTCTCGTACACACACACACACACACACAGATATATAGATGTACTCACATACATCAGTCTACCTATTTATAGCTATATATGTATACATATATATGGCCAGTTATCATTGTGGTAGCTGGATATGTAGATAATAAATATGATACATATATATTGGATAACAATATATTAATATGGCCACTGCAGTGTGTGTATATGTATATATGTATTTATGTACACATATATACATACATACATATACCTATATAGGCACATACATATATATGTATGTATATGTATACGTATGTGTATATATACACAGAAACATGCCTATAATACAATAAATATACATATTTACATTTACATGTGTATATACACCCACACACATATATAAACCCAGCCACAACAGTGATATTTCTGTATTTTTAAAATATTTATTTGTTTGTTTGTTTGTTTATTTATTTATTTATAGTGCATGTGAGTGGGGGGAGGGGCAGAAGGAGAGGGAAGAGAGAGAATCTCAAGCAGACTCTGCACTGGGCATGGAGCCCCACTCGGGACTTGATCCCACAACACTGAGATCATGACCTGAGCCAAAACCAGAAGTCAGTCCAACACTTATCTGACTGAGCCACCCAGGTGCCCTGTGATATTTCTTTTTTTGATTAGAAACTTAAAAATTTGTGGTAAAATATACATACCATAAAATTGGCTATTTTAACCATTTTAACGTGTATGGTTCAGTGGTATTATGTACATTCACGATGCTGTGCAACCAATCTCCAGAAGTCTTTTCTTCTTGCAAAACCAAAACTTTGTACCCATTAAACACTAGCTCCCCATGCCCCCTGCCCCTAGCCCCTGGCAGCCACCATTGTACTTTCTGTGACTATGAATTTGACTGCTCTAGAGACCTCATATAAATGGAATCATACAGTATTTGTCCTTTTGTGACTGGCTTACCTCACTTAACATAATGTCCTCAAAGTTCATCCATGTTGTAGCATGTCTCAGCATTTCTGTCCTTTTTTAAGGCTGAATAACATTCCATTGTTTATCCATCTTGTTTATCTATTCATACATCGATGGAACCACAGTGATATTTATTACATACTATCCCCCTTGGAACCTTATAGTAACTTGTCCCCATTACTCTCAGGATAAACCTAAAAGGCTTTACTATGGTTTACAACACCCTGCCCCCTAACCCAGCAGCCTTCATTCTATTTATCTCCCTTTACACTCTTTCCTTCAGTCAGGCTACCTGACCTTACCACAATTCCTTTCACATCTGGAATTTCTGTCC